ATAAAGTTAACTTTCACATCAGACGCTTTAAGCAGCGTTCGACAATTCCGAAGGTCAATCGACGCACGGCACGTTCGATAAAGAACAAGTATTCATAGCAATAGCTTCACATTGTTATTACCACGAAAGCATGGAAGGTCGGAACAAGCTTCAAAGAGTCAATTTGGTACCTTCCCACGTACAATCTAGTGGAGTGGAACACTCGTGTGCTTTGTGTTGACTGCTTTCACAATGAAGGGACTGCGTAGTCAGGAAAAGCTGTCAAAGTCCCTTCTCGGAAATTTCAAGGTCGGACGCAAGTTGAAACCGTGTATCTTGTCCGTCCAGTCGGATCATTAACAATCGAGAAGTGGCGCAGATGATATCAATATTTTTTGCAACACTCGTGAAGAACAAAACGGTAAGAGGATAACCATCATTGCAATAAATTACAAAAATCCAAAAAATGCGTAGAACCTTCTTAAATGCATCTGCCAGCCGACTTTCCATATCAAAGTCACTTGCGAATCTGATGATAAATTGCTCGATTGTTCCGAACTGTATTCCTTTACTCTTCATCATTTTCTGTAGAGCATACCAAGATGATCTGAAGGAAAAGCGTTGAGTAATGACTTCTGTCATCACAACAAATGTTGTGCAAAGTTGCGACTCCCACTTTGAAAAAAATTCTAGGCGATTCATGCACCGTTAACGAATAATTGAACGCTGTCCTTTGAACCACCTCAGTTTGATGCTCGCGCCTGCGCTCTCCCGTCTAAAGAGCAGGTCATGACTGCTGTGATCTCACACATTCGAACTTTTGCCACACTGTAAAGGCTCACTCCCCACCCCCCCTAGATTGCCCTCATTCCCCCTGGCTCACGTATCTCATGCTTGGCACGGTGACAATCTGCGATGGGCGCCGTTCCCTGATCGTCATTGCTCTAGCGATTTGAGGCAACACCATCGAAGAAATTCAAGTAGTCCGTAAACCATTCATGCTTCCAAGACAAACTCACGTAGGTATCTTCTCATCGCTGTATATAAGTACTACGCGGTCCACCGATCCGCCTTGGATGTATCAGGTACTGCAGCGCGGACGCCAGTTGTACTGAATTGTAGTCATATTTCATCCCATCCCTGGCTGTCCAAATCTCCGAAAAGTAAGATCTTTGATGCACACGTTCCAGACCGTAACAGTACCGCAGTAACCATTGAGCCCCTGCTCCTTCCTGTTCCATCGCTGTACTATTAGCTGTTACTAGAGTGCTACTACAATGCTACTACAGTGCGTTGCAAAATCATAGGACACCCCCCAAAAATAGGAATATCTCGGCTTCTAGAAAAAGCCGTCTATCGCAACTGGTAGAATCAGAACCGCCTCTATAAAAAAACCTACGCAAACAGTGGCCACATCATCCGAATAGCTTTCCGTATTTTTAGACAATATTTTCTTGTTTTGTATTCGTTGCAAAATCATAGGACACCCTTCGGAAGTCTTCTTACAGTTGAATTTTTTATCCATCCAGCAACGGTGGTAGCATTGTCCGGTGTATGGTAATTCTATCAGAGTTGCGGGTTTAGTTGCATCCTCCCCCTCCGCGAATGAAAGCCAGACTTGCCTTATACGCGCCTGATTGCTCTACCATCGAAGCCATTTCCAGGAGCTCAAAGAAAACCATAGCATGGTGCTCCAAATCCACACTACGAATAGAAATAAGAGTGCACCAGGATTGATACCAGAAGTTCTCTGAATTGATTAGCTATAATTTCGAAGAATACATCAAAAAAAATAACCATGTACGGTCAACCTGTGTCAGCTCTACGACAGAAAGAAGGATAGAAATGACACTCTATTGCAAAATCACTGACATGGACAACTAGTGTAGGGTCCTGCGAAGCGTGCTGCCATGCTCGTTAGGCGTTGACTGAAACCAGAGAAGAGAAATCTAACGAAATCTGGGGCGAAGCTTGGCTTCGTTGAGCAATTTTTCATTCGAAATAATGAGCAATTTGTTCCTTCCAGACCGCGCTTCTTCGGTAATGAGCAGTTTAACTTCGATGGCTCAGATGACTGCTGTTCACCTGTGAAGAAATATGGGCCAAGATTCGACTTATTCCTTCAACAAAATTTTCGTGTTCGTTTCCTAGAAATGCGGTGATGCGTAACCTCATCCTGAGTTCTAGACCTGAAGTTTCTCTTCTCTGGTTTCAGTCAGAACGCCTAACGAGCATGGCAGCACGCTTCGCAGGACCCTACACTAGTTGTCCATGTCAGTGATTTTGCAATAGGGTGTCATTCCTATCCTTCTTTCTGTCGTAGAGCTGACACAGGTTGACCGTACATGGTTATTTTGTTTGATGTATTCTTCGAAATTATAGCTAATCCTTTCAGAGAACTTCTGGTATTAATCCTGGTGCACTCTTATTTCTATTCGTAGTGTGGATTTGGAGCACCAAGCTATGGCTTTCTTTGAGCTCCTGGAAATGGCTTCGATGGTAGAGCAATCAGGCCTTTCATTCGCGGAGAGAAAGGGAGCAACTCAAACCGTAACTCTAATAAGATTACCATACACCGGACAAGTGCTACCACCGTTGCTGGATGGATAAAAAAATTCAACTGTAAGAAGACTTCCGAGGGGTGTCCTATGATTTTGCAACGACTACAAAACTAAAAGAGATCGTCTATAAATACGGTAAACTATTCGGATGACTTGACTACTTGTTTGTATAGGTTTTTTATAGAGGCGGTTCTGATTCTACCAGTTGCGATAGAAGGCTTTCTCTAGAAGCCGAGATATTCCTATTTTTGGGGGGTGTCCTATGATTTTGCAACGCACTGTACAATGGTAGACTGCACGGACACAGCTAACCCATAAGCCAGCTAGAGCTGCACTTTGCAACTATGCGATTTGAATACTGGAAGCTCGAAATCCGTGCAGAATTAAGAACGTTTGGCTTGTAACCGTTCGAATAGGTAGCTGTCTGCATCACTGATATCAGCCTACTTCGTGATTTTCCAAGAGTTGAGAGTGTTGATCGTAATCACTCCTCGTAAAACGCCTCAGCAAACATTGGTCTGGTCTATACAGAGAGGACAGCGGAGTTATGTACTCAAGTACTTAATACAGGGGTGGCCAAAAAAGAAAGCGCTCATGGGCGCACGTCACTGAACTTTTCGCCCCACAGGGTGACGCAGTTGGTTCTAGCAAAACGTCCCATAGATGTCCCCCCATAAGTAGAGCAGGCTCTCCTCTAATGCCCTCATCGTTTTCAGAATAGGACGTCACCCGCCATCAGCGTCGAGCTCGAGGAGGTCTACTGTGACTGCTTCGGCCCGAGGCCGCTACATAATACATATTAGGTTGCTCCATATGTTTTGCAACAAACTGACTAAATTTTGATTCTAATATTTTTTATCTTTTTGTACCACTCATCCAGCATGATACACACCATCAATGTCTACAACCAATTGCCAATGCACTAGAAGCTGTTCGATGCCTCTCTTGCAAAAGTCCACTGAGTTTTTATCAAAGAAAGATTAGATGTCGATTTTGACATCAAGGGGGTCTTTCAAGGCAAGCCGCGCTTTTTGGAAACGGTTTCTTGCAGGAACGCATGTATGGACCACAAAACCGTGTTTCGTTTTCGCTTAACGGTTTTAATAGTAGTACCAAAGAAGTGGTGAATCATACCTTCGATGGTTCGATCCCTCGCGGCGAGTAAATCTTGTTATCGTGGTTGGTGGCCATTCGTTGACTTCGAAATGGTCCTGACTATGAATATGACCTAGGATTTTGACATTTAGCGCGAATCGGTACCAACCGCTTAGCGTCAACAAAAATGCAAAATTTAAACACCGCGGGGATTGAACCATCAAGGGTATTATTCACCACGTTTTTGGCGCTGCCAAAACCGTTCAGCGAAAATGGAACATGGCTTGTGTTTCGTTTTCCTACAATATGCAAGAAACCGTTTTTAAAAAAGCGTGGCTTGCAATGAAAGACTTTCCTTGTAAGTATCAAGACCGCTTCCAACCAGCGTTATAAAGTTCTAACCGTGTTCAATTTTCCCATGGCTATTTCTTGTGATGTACATGGTGTAGAAAGCTATTGTGATGGTCATTGATAGAGAGAGAAGTGCTCTTATATCAAGGTGGGAGCACTCGATTTGAGTTCAACAAAGTGTAATTAATGCCGTCTGAAATTTGGAGTGAAGAGTCTCTTTCTTGACCTCCCCTGTAGTCCCACTGAATCTAGGACGGACAATGAGCACCACGCGCAGAAGCTGTGACACAAAGCCTATTTGAGGTGCAGCGTTGATCCCATCTAGCACGAAACAAGAACGCAGAATGTGTGCAAACAAGAACGAAACGAAAACTATGGCAACTTGCTGTGAATTGATAGCCTCACGATTAAAACCCTTACGAGAACATTGATCAAAGGAATCTTGCGAGGAAAATTCTTGCACTCTTTCCTAACATGAATATGTCAGTTGTGATCACTGGAAATAGCACACAAAATTTCACGCATGAAGATTCGGTTTCTGAAGAGAAACAAACGTGCAAAAACTACACGTTATGGACCATCGAAGGACCAGGAGGCACAGCCAGGCGAGGCATGGAAAGAAGACGGCGTTTGGCCGACTACGTACCAAGCGACGCAGTGAGAGAATCGGGTTAAAGCGCGCGATTTCGGAGAGTGGAGACAAATCGATCGATGGAATAGGATGGAGTAGAAGTGTAAGATGTGAATGCAACGAAGCAGAAGGCCAGAAAGAGCTTTAGTGAATGCATTCCGAGAACCAAGTTTAAGCATCCCCGTCGCCAGCATTCGTGAAAGACGTCCGTGGGCAATTCGAACGCTTAGCAGCCTTTTCGAGTTTTTGAATTTCTAATCAAAAAGAAAGCAATATTTCAGTTCTTTTCACTATTATCGTGAATAATGAGTCTCAAGCCAGTTATTTATGGCTGAAATAGAATCATGATTTTTCCGCGCAAGATTCCTTCAAGAAACACTCACCTTAGACTCATCGAGTACAGCCGCTTCTCTGCCACCGTGAAATATCTAGGTGGATGACGTCTAGCTGGCTTTACCGACAAACTCGAGCTTAGCTTTCCTCTCTGAACATGCAATTTTCAGATTCCATGCCTGCCTTTTGCCACGCTATATTCATATTTGATTCCAGTCCCCTTCCAGAAACTTGTTTTGTGACGCGTTCTCGTCAAGGTTTGGGTCTTCAAGTAATTTCACACTGTTTGAAAGGAGATCATCTGGCTTATCAGCTTCATGCGTCTAAAAATGTCATAACCTCGCAGGGGCACTGTTTTACTTCACAAAGAATGAGCAAACTCAAACATTTTGCAGTTTGCTGCTTCTCAACTGGTACTCTTCAATTCGGTTCCACCTACAGAAGCTCCATAGGAACGAATATTACCTTCGTTAACACTAGCAGTTCCACAGTTGTTCAAAAAGGGATAATTGGTGAACCCATCCAGGAAAAATTTGTGAGAAGGCTTTATTTTGCTTGGACACTGAGGCATACAGTGCGTATCATAAGTATAGACGCACCCCTGAAAGTACCACAGCTGACTTTCGTAGAAGTTCTCGGCAAACAGGCTCATCACCATGCGTGAAAGCCCATGTTTACCAGCTTTCACGTAAAATCGGATGAATGGCCTTCGGCCCAGCAGGTGAACATTACTTGTACTGTATCAAAGACACAGATGTACTTCATTATTAGGCTACACATCGACAACTTGTCGTTCCAAGAAACCAATAACTAGGGATGAGTACTCTACACAATATCGCAAAATGCCACGAGATCCACATATGTCAGAGGCCGAGTAGGCAGGGTTTCCCGCCCTGCACATATCAGGGCGGGATGGCAATCGTCAAAATGCTGAACAACTGCGGCGTTCATTAAGGGCTATAGACCAATTTCTACATGAGCCGTGATCCTGCGAAGAAAAAAATAGAGATCTGGGAGGTTGAAGAAGCGAGCTTTACAGCAGCAGTGTTCGGTTAAACGTCTGTTTCCAATTCCGCTGTCGGTATGAGTGGAGTTTGAGCCACCTTATTGGGTCCCTTGTCCCATGAAAGGCAATCAAGCGCAACAACAACATATATAGATGTTGTCTCCGCCCTGCTACGCGGCTTACTGATGCCCAAAAGGAAATTCGGTCCCAGTTTGTCAGGACGAATGTGGCAACAAATTGATCGAAGATGCACGTCCTCCTCATAAAGTTCTCTGGAATGAGATTCAGCGTTTAGGTGATATCTACCGACGAGAAGTAGTTCAACAGGGACGGCTCAGATGGAAATGCCTTTAATTGGAGAGATCTACGCTGGGAACCGGGGTACTTCAGTATACGTAATTTCGGTGGAGGTAGCGTGATAGTTTGGGAGGGTCCCATCAGACCGGGAAGCTTGAAATCACCTTTAACTTCACTCATATAAATTCAACGGACAACCAAGACGTGCAACGTTGTCATTTACTACCTTTCCTGGCAACTTTCGAAGCAGGGGAGTTCGTTTTGCAACAGGACTGCGCGGCGATCCACGCGATCACGTCCACAAAATCATGACTGGGGAGCAAGATTAGTTAGCATGGAATATCCTGATCTTATTTCACAGAGTGCATCTGGAGCATCCTAGTCGGAGATATTTGCGGCCAGGGAGAACTTCTGATAGAGTGAGAAACCTCAAGAGTGATTGACTAACAGTCAGGAATGGTATTGTTAGGATGTACAGTTGCTGCATAGATCAGTTGATTCAATGCCAAATCAAATTTTCCAGAAGATTCCCAAACCTGGAGGTACAAATGGTTGTTGAAAAGTTGTTATATTCATGTTTTCATAATAAATGCATTAGATTTTCGTGGTGTGTTTATGCTTTTGATACAGGCGAAATATTGTTCACCTTTTGCACAAAGGCCGAATTTCTTCAGAAAGTCACCTGTAGTACTTCCGGGGGTGCGTCTATACTTATGACACGCACTGTGCATTGCAGAATCTTTTGAGGATGCCTCTTTCACACATGGCGTTGTAGAAATCGCATGCTCCACTGGGTGGAAGGCCGTTTAGAAGTTGATCGACAGAAGGCGCCACTCGCAGCAATATTCCGTTGGCTGTGAGATTTCGTGAATCTTGTCGATAGAGGAATAGCTTGAAGGAAAACAGGCTACTTCTACATTCGTGTAATCGTAAATATGGCGGCGTTTTCTGTCTAGAACAAAACGGTAGAAGACCTTCAACACCTGGAACAGGAGACATATTAAGCGGAACTTGTTCAGACCTGCTGTGTTCCCTTCTTGTAAATAAACAGCGTAAATAAACAGGAATCCCTCCAAGCAAATGGGATTACTCCTCCGCGAAGTATGCGCTCGAACATTCCACGGAGGAGCTCACTACATCACGCAGAGAGGTCCACTCCCCCTCAGGCGGCATGGAGAGACTCTCCACTCACACTCGATTTGGTGCCGGTGCCTCGCCTTTCTACGTCTGGCCGATGACAGCTAGCAGTGCTGTTCGTAGAATCGGTGGGAAGCCTTCGTCAGATCGCTTTTCGATGGGCTCCAAATTCTTCTGGCCGTCAAAGGGATTGCTGTAGAGGTGTGAATTAGCTCGACCGTTTCTTCTTGGCTCTATGATACGGTGCCGTCAGACGTGACCAGAATCGGGGCAAGTGGTTTTCAATATATCATGACCTTTTGACGCTTGTCAGTTCTTCGGCTGCTTCGCGTGCTCTGAGGGTTGTGCATTCCTTGTGATCGTGTCTACCCGAGCGCGAATCTCTTTATTGAAGACGGCCTTCACGGGCTCATGTTGACAACTTTAGCTTCCTCGGCAGCTTTAGCGTATGAGGAGGCAGAAGCGGCCGCGGCTCAAAGGTGGCGCACGTTGTGATCTTTGACACGACGCGATCTCCCTCGACCATGCGAACGCGTCGTCAACGGTGGCAAATATTCCAGCGGGATGACACACCATGGGAACTAGCAGTCCGATGATGTCAGAATTGACCTTAAGGTGACTAGTGACATTAATTCTTTGAATTGTTATGTTTGGAAAACAGTTTTTGAAACGAATGCTTCTGCTGAAGCCTGAAATATTCCCAATGAAGGATTATTGCTTTTAAATGCAGTAGGGAGCCTCAGATGTGCCAGACATCGCATTTGCTGCCGCATGGTAAAGTGTGTTCGCGAGTGAGGTGTGGTACCCAGAGCAAACCATACGGATCAATAGCTCCCATGACAGCACTTTGTCGTCGTCAAATGCCGCGTGTGTGCGACAGAGTGAGGTCCGACACCTTCTAGCAGATGCCCTCAAGTTTTGGATGAGGTGAAGTGAGTCCTCATCCTTGGTTGAAGGGGCTGTGTAGCAAAAGCTAGTGTAATAAAACTTTGTTTGGTTTTAGTTCTGTTTTGTAAGAAATTTATTTGTTGAACTCACATGTGTAACTTTAGAACGTACACGTTCAAGACTGTGCTGGTATCAGAAGGGCGATGAATCAATGTGTTGATATCTATAAAAGCAAAACACAAGATACAAAGATATGGTATCAGGCGATACATAAGAATGACTTGCGGTAAGGAAGGTTCAATTTTGAGCCCAGACTCCAGTGTTCAGCGCCCACTCAATACTGGTCAACACTTCTACGACGAAGCTTAATACCGAATTGAGGTTCGCTACCAGCATCATCGTGTACCCTAATAAAGTTCCTAAATGACCTGTGTCGTCAAGCAAGGAGTACTGCAGTACTGTAGGAGTAAGTTCCGATATAAACGGAAGTTGAAGATACAACTTATTTTGAGCTTCATATGGAAAAGGCCTTGGTCTGCTACGTTCACTCCGCTGCCGTGCTGTGTAACCATTAAGATTAACAATTTGATGAGCTAATCTTCTGGACTCTTCTCGCTCCTCGTCACCGGTGCACACCCCACAGCTGTTCTGTTCGTTACGCAATACTGCTCGTTTAACAGCTTTTGGGTGCGCTGACAGTGCGTGAATGATGATATTTTTGGATCTTTTCTTCCTATACCATTTCACATTGTAAAAGCCATTGGATACCTTGACCTGGGTGTTCAGGTAAGGTAACCAATCATCGCGCGGGACCTCTCGAGTGAGCCTGATGTACTGCGACTGACTGTTAAGAATATTGAATAATTCATCCATTTCGGATTGAGTCGATGTGATTACAAAACAGTCGTCGATGTAGCGGCAGTACATGATGGGCAAGCGTGCTAGCACTGGTCGTTCGATACCGTTGTCCCATTGCGAGCCCTCTGATTTGTGAGAAATATCTTCCAGACCACTTAAATATATTGCAGTTCAAACATTCTCTAATCAGAACCATTATTTGTGTTTTGCTCAACCCAAACGTTGTCAAGCTTCTTGCATGCTCGTCAAGCATTTCTGAAACGGCTTGCAAGGCTTCGTTGTTGCTAACGTTGGTGTAAAGCGCAGACACGTCAAATGATTCCACAACACAATTTCGTTGAAGTCTGCAAGAACGTAAGTGGTCCAAAAATTGTCCCGTGTTCGTCAAATGTGATGGTATGTAAGTGAGAAGTTGACCGATTATCTTGTTGAGAAACCACGAAATTCGATCGGTCGGTCCGTCCACACAGCTAATTATAGGTCTTATTTTGTAATCCTGTGGCAGGAGTGATCGCATGTTCTCAGCAGACAATTTGTGCGTTTTAATTAGGCTGTAGAAGACTGGGCAAGTTGGGTTTTCCAGCTTAAGTCTTCTAATTAATCGCTTATCGAGCTCCGCTGACTTCCCCACTTTCATCCATAGCGTGTTCAACTTGTGTACCTGCATTTGGAAGGCTCTTTCTGTTGAGTTCTGGTATATAGTTGTATCAGCTAAGTGGAGTTCAGTAATTTCCTTATCCAATGATTGAGGTAGTACCACAAGCTCTCCACCTTTGTCACTCACAGAAAGTCGTATCTCGTTCCTATTTAGCCTTTCCTTGACTTCTTTGAGACCTTCCCATTGTTCCCTAGTCAAGTTGGAGCTCCCTTCACCT